TGTTCTCCTGATACATAATTTGTCTATGCCCACAATAACAACACAAGGGAATGCCATAAATTACCATTAAAGAGTAAAGTGGCTGTAAACGAGCCCAGAGGATGGAGAACGGCAGAGAAAGAGCAGTGCTGCATGCTCCAGGCAATTTTAGAGAAAGAAGCTTCAAGTAATAGAATTCAGATGCTTGGTCACTCTTCCTCTACATTCCCATTCCAGCTTGGATGTTCTCTTTAACAGGAAAAAGGGGGAGTCAGCAAAAACAGAATGCCACCATTAAATCATTTTACAGGATTCTGTGTCAAAAATGTAATGGGAAATGCACTCATCATTGGAAAGGTTACTGTTCTTCCAGAACATCTTTCCTCTTGGTTCAGGGCTCATCCCTTAATATAACTGTGCCGATACCCACAGCTGGCTGTTCTCCCCGGGTTTAATGTGGCAGATGAAGGATTATGGCATTTACAGCTTGCTACAGTGCAGCGATTCTAGCAGTAACGTAGCAGAAAGTGATCCTGTGATTTAAGGAAAACTGTTTTGTTTTTGTACCAACGCTTAATATCTGAAGCAACACTATCTAGTATTGTCATGCCATGCGGTTTACCAGATTTGCTGCCAAAGCCGCTTATATGAGATTGACAGTCCAAAGGGTAGAGAATCACATTTGCTCTATGGACTCAGCGCTCACTTTACAGAAGTAAACAGACAAATATGAGGAAAGTATTTCTGTCATGATGCCCCATTCAAGAGGTTTATGATAACCATGTTTTTTTTTTCACCAATGAATAGAAGATGACTTAATTAAATCTATAATCCGACTGCTTATTACAAGTTTATCTATAATGGTATTTTCATCTTAATGACTCATGTGGCACCATAATGATAAAGTAGAAGTCAAGTCTATTGAATCTAACATGGTGGTAGACATACCCTCTGCATGAGAGCAAGTCAGGGCTTCCACAAGAAGTACTACAGCAGGTCCTCACATTTGAAGTGTAAGTTTCTGGATTTCCATAAGGCTTTTGATAAAGTTAATCTTTTAAGAGGAACTCTCAGATCACAGGTGGTAGGCATTCATGGAAAAGTGTGTGTTTCTTTGGAAGGTGGTTAATAGAAAACCAGAGTCCAGAAAATGAGTGAATGCTCAGATTAGGGTGATTTAAGTAGTGCAGTACTACAGACATTTGTATCAGGATCACTGTTCTTTATCTTAACAATGATCTAGATTTTGCCAGAATTAACAAACTGGTCATGTGTGCAGACAATACCAAAACGGGATGGTTTTCAAACACTACAGGATCAGAAAAAGAAATTAAAAAACATTTAGCTAAAAATCACGACTGGGATCAATAAGCTCCTAAATACCAATCCTCTCTTCCGTGACATTCATACAGGCGTAGAAGGGAAGAACATAATTTCTATGTTCTTACTGCCAATCTCTTAACAAGGGCTGTTTACAATTAAGTTATTACAAAATGGAACTTTTAAATAAAATGTTTTGCATGGCTGAACAGCAACATACATTCAGAATTGCCAACAAGACAGTCTGTAAATAAATCTTATACTGAAGACATTCGCAAATAGTGGATTAACTGCCTTCATCACAGTATAAATCAAGAACACATCTTCTCTTGACTAGTTTTAAATGGACGAGGATGTAAATTACTATCCAATCTTTAACCATATGTTTGCAATTCAAGTTTTAAAATGACTCTTTTGGAAAATTACAAGCTTTTGCACTGCACACATTTTAATATGTGTAAGCAACTTATTACACAATCCCACAAGCCCTAAGGAATGAAGTTCTGGAGGGACAGATGACACCTGTCAAAACACACTGACAGGCCATAGGGTAAAAGTATTCAGATGACAGCACAGACTCTAGGACACGGGAGAGAATAAGATGCTCTACAAAATTTTAATTTTGTTTTGTTTTATCTTCTATAAAATGTTGCTTCCATAATGCCCTAGAGATAAATCAAATGGAAATTAAAATTAACTCTCTATATCAAAGAGACTTGAGTGTTTATGTTGAAAACTGGGGAAAAAACGACAACTGCACCTTGCAGATCATTACATTGAAATTCACGAATGTAATGGAAAACTATACAACTGCATTTAGAGTATTGTGTTCCATTTCAGAAACAAAATCTCCCAAAAAATAAATTTAGCTTAAAGAGGCATGTCAGAAAGCAGTTCTAAAAAACACTGCATTTCAAGCTCAGGAAACGGAAAGTTTCCTGTTACAGATACAGTAGTCCAATTTAGTGGAGTAACAGTGGGGCTGTTGAATGTATCTGCAGTCGCTGCTAACATTTCTATCATATACACCAAGGATGAATACCCTCAGGGACAGACTTTCAGTTTGCAGGATGTACTTTCTGCAGTGGCCCAGCAATTAAGGCAATGGATCGATCAGGGGACTCGTAGTTCTAGCCTGTGACTGATTCAATCAACGAGTGTGAACCTGAGCTAGCTTTATAAAGCTCTGGCCCTCAGCTAAAACATATATTTACAGTATATAACATCTTGATGGATGTGATGCATGTGATTACTAAACAGTGTTTCAAATATATACAGTACATGTAAAGAGTGTCAACAATTGTAGTGAAAGTACGAGGAACAAGGATCATCTTATAATGTCAGTGACTCATTTCAGGATAATACACAGATAATGACTGATCTTGGCATTACTTAAATCCGAAAAAAAGCAGGTGGAAAGAAGATAAAAAATGGAGAAGCATATAGACACAAAACCTTGTGTATTTAATAACCTCTCCAAGTTTTAGATAAACCAGGTCTTAGATCATGAATAGGAAAAGGAGACTTTCACTTTAAACTATTTTAAAACCAGGCTAAATCACATAATGGAATCAGAATTTTCCCCACAATTAGTTCTCCTTCAGGTTCATTTAAATGTTTTGCCTGAAAGATTATTAGCTCTGTTCTTATATTCTGACAGGCATCAGTCACATTCTGCAGTTAAGATTTCCAGGAAAGTTTAACAGTAGTCTTTTTATAGACATTTCCGATATGCAAATATAAAATACATCTGATACCAACAAAATGCAGAAAAAAATATTTAATATGACTTATTAAAATAAGATGAACTATGATGTAGCTATCATCCCACGATACCAAGGAGAAAAGCCAAGATGTATAAAGAGGGAATTACAGGTTACAATTACAATGAAGGCTAAGCTTTCTATTCAGAACATATTTAGTGACATCCAAGCATTTTGCAGAAGTTTAAATGGTGAACTAAATGGCGCCTATGTAGTAAGAGCAATATCACTGACTTTTTTATTGTTTAACAAACTAAAAAAATAGAATGTGTTATATGTGTATTGGCAAAAAATGTCATCAAAAAAGTAAAAAGACCAGGAAATGTCAGCTGACTGGTTGCCCCAGGACACCTTAGTCCAAACCTGGGTGACCTTGAGTTCCAATTGAGGTCTATTCTTTAAATGAAAGCTTAACTGAATGAATGATTTACTTACTTCCTTGAGATTTCCATAGGTATAGCTGCAGAAAAATCTAATTAGTAGGTACATCAATGTATGAACCGAGAGCTGGCCCGAAGTGGACACTTAAAAAGACTGACACCTGAAGAAGGCTCCACGGCCGAAACATTGTGTCCTCTTTCTTCTTTTTTTCAGCATGGAATAAACCTATTACTTAAAAAGACTGCAGTCTAGAGCCCCGGCCGTGAGGAAAACCTGTTATATCTAAGAGTTTTTAATGTGGGGTACATTTGCAAAATTGCTTTCAACTTTTAAAAGGCAAAATATGATTGTAGCTGTTATCATGTCATTACTGGCTTGTGTGTTTCAGAACTGTCTTTATTCAGGTGTGTTACCCAATATGTAAACAACAGTACCTCTGCCGAACACAAAGCTCAATGTGGGAGTGTTGATAGAGTGTCACTTCCACATAAGTGTGTTCATCCTAAACTGATCAAATATTAATATTATTAGATGAGAAATAATGTCAAGCAAGACTAAAGAGGCAGAGTAAAGAGAAGTATGCTGAAACTGATAAAAGAAGAACCTTTGATCAAAGAAACAATTTAAATAAAATGAAGTGATAGCATTGGAGATACAGAGCTCAGCTATAATTAATGAAAACTGGTAGAAACAGTGTTGTTGCAGGACCAAGGCTGGAAACCACTGACCTTAAGAACCTGACTTATGCCTATCCAGCCTTGATTGGTATCAATCACGCATACTGAGGAATTTTACTCTGAGATGGTTAAGGACGAGTCCCAAACTCAAATAACCATCCTGAGCTCCGAGGAACTTTCATTACAGGCTAAGCCACACATATATCCCTCTTTACAGTATCTATCATTACCACAAGACATGGCCCTTTATAACTACACACGTTACACTGTTACCAAAACACACTCCTTTTAAAGCTATTTCTTGCAAGTATCAAACATACAGAGAGGGAAGGTTATTTAATACAGTTAATTTTGTGACTTAAATTGAAATTAACGGATGCAAAATTAACACTTTAATGGTTAAATAAGAGTTATACAATCCTAGTGCTACATTAATCACAAATCGTCTAAATAAACAATGTATCACACCTTTGTTAAAGGACTTAGGCATAGTACTGAAAAAGCTAGTGGATGGACCCTTTAAAAAAGCCTAATACCTTCTTATTGGACGGACTGTTATTTATTATTATAAGACCTGTTATGTTTAAACCACTGAGGATAAGAAATAACTCTCGTTTTAAGAAGAGACACAGACAGAGCAAGAAAGATTGACTAAAAACAAAAACAGATTATCCCGCCTTAATTACATCTAAATCCACTGTGTAAATGTGTGTGGCAGTTCAATAATGCAGATCAATCAGTGCTTCCGAAGTGATGTTTCCCCCTAAATCACATTTCTTTTTCTCATTCCGTGCTGCCATTTCATTCATTAGACATCAGGTGATCCTAATGAAGAAGGAACGTTAATCACCAGGGGAAATGCCCACAAAGCCTGGCCTACCTGACTAAATTTTCATTGTCTCCTGGGCCCTTGCAAGTGGTGCACTCTGTTCTCATGTCATCTGCTTTGGGCTTCTTCTGCATTACTGACTGGCGCTGTCTTCTCTCCCTCAGAGGAGGATCCTAACCAGGCAAACACAGTATTTGTTTGGCAATTGTTTTCTTTCGTAAATTGTTTTCTTTTGTAAAGCGAGAAATTATTGAAGAAACCCGAACGGGGGGAAAAAAAAAATACCTCTGCTTTTTCTTCTTCAGAAATCGAGACTCGTTTTCTCTTTTGGCCTCTGGTTCTCTAAAATACAGAAACAGTGATAAAACCATCACTAAAAACAAAACCTGATTAGAAATGTAAGAACAATAACATGCACAGCTGAAAAATTGATAGATGGAATTAAAAAGGCACTTCCTGAAACTTCTTCAAATCAAGTGAAGTAAAGTTGTCTGTTTTCTAATGTATGCGTTACAAAACCATTTTTAGGAAGGTACTGGACTTCCTCACTCTTGACATCAGCAGTTAAAGAACAGTTTAATTTAGGGGTTGCAAAAAAACGGACAACAAATCCAGCTGGTCTTGGTCTCAGTTACACAAGTGAAGCTTTAATTAACAGTTTTCAGCTCTTTAACACGTAGGTGGCTGTCCTGTAACATATAGCATTTCATCATTAAAATAAAATCCCAAACCTTTCAGCAGAAAAAAAAAACCTGCAAACATTCCAACCAAGCAACTTGTTAGTTCAATTAAGTCTTCAATTAAGTATTTATGCTTGGCTAGAATAAGAATCAACAGCTATGTGGTCTACCCGGAGCAAGAGTGGTATGGCCAATTTCGTAAATGTGCCCAAATGCTATCTGGAATCCCTGATCTAGCATGTTAATGAATACCTTTGGGAGAAACAATAGAAATTGTTTTGAAATAGAAATCCTTTCCTAGGACTCTTCATCCTCTTCCTTTAAAATCTACCTGCCTTTGAAGAAGACGGGCCTGCACAAACAAACTAATTGGACAGTCACTACCATCGAGGCCCATGGCTCCACAGAAGCATTGTCACGAAAGATAAAAAATGAACAATGTTATAAATGAATTTACCACACGTAAACATCAGTCATTTATTGCTACCTTATCCCTTCTCAGGCACAGATTGTTTTTTTTTTAGTGGAATGCTAACCCAGAAATTCATACCGACAACATCTGTTGCCATTTTTGATAAAAATAAAAGGAGTTCAAAACCATTGCGTAATGGCACTCTGGCACTGCATGGTGCCTGGTAGGAGTAATCCCTTCATCTTGGGCGCCAGGAGGCCCGTGAGTGTGCCTCACTGAACGCGAGGTGTGGAAATATCCTGCAGTGATGTACACTGCTCTCTTGTTCCAGCCATGTTGCTTCCTAGACTTCTGTTCTCAGGTCACAAAAGAACTGAGGTCCCGTTCAGGCCACCCTCTTTTCCTTCACAAGATAACCTGGCAATGGCATCAGTGAATCAAGACATTCACTGTTTCTTTAGCAGCAAAACAGTTTATCCCATTTACACATATAACAGTTTTACGAGAAACACGCATTTAAACATACTTTAACCACTACACCTGCTTCTCCATTTGTGTAAGGTCTGTTAAAATGAGGTTTTTACACATTGCCAAGTTTACCTCGAATAGTAACAGCACACTTTAAACCACATTAAGCAATGGCTAGAAAACGCGCCCAAGGTTGTATGCTGTATTTACAGGAAATTAATCCAACTTTTGGAACTAAACTGACAACTCTGGAACAGAAAAGGACAACACCACTCACAGAAAATAGGTCAGACACATGTAGCTTCAAAAATGGCACTTGTTAATGCCAGAAACAACATTGAAACGACTGCCTTTTCCACCAATTAAAACTTTTTAAGGGTAAATATTTAATTTTAAACTGCGCAGAATGAATAATCACCAAGAGGATTAAGCATTCAGTTTTTCAAAACCAGGACCTCCATTGCACTGGAAAATAATACATTTGCATCTTAAAGTCAGAGGCAGATTAAGGTACTCAGCGGTTTTTAAAGAGGAAGAAAAATCTACAACATATTTAAACAGATTGTGAAAACAATTCCATCTGTTGCCTTTGGCTTTAAACCACATGGCAGATGGAACAGTTATCATTATAAATGCTAACTGCTATAATGTTGCCAATTGGCTTCTAAATTTACTACCACTACTTCTACTACACTACACAAATAGTTTCAAACAACACTTAAAATCTAAATTCTATGGATAAATTCTGTAAAACATTTTACTAATCAGTCACTCTTTCAGCAACCTCTCTAGTTAAATCCATACATTATGTTTGTGCAAACAACAGGACAGTTTCCAAAAATAAAGTCACTCCTGGCTCAGAACTGCCCCATAGCAGGAGAATAATACAATCACACAACTATACCACATGAAAATTAAATACTTGGTTCCCTCAAGCTTTTTTTTTTTAAATTAAATGCCAAAATATAAAAGCATTTTATTTTTATTCAACCGTAATGGCTCAAACATATTAAGAGCCTTCATGGTAGCACTGAATAGGAGCAACCTAACACAGCCCTGTGACTTGATGGTGAGTTGGCTCTCTAGTCTCTACGTGCCAGTCAGCTGTGACTTAACAACTGGTCAGCACTGCTGCAGAACGCAGCCCGCATGAGCCCCATCGCCTTTTATACTGCCTGCCAGTCCAGTGAGAGCAGCTGCACACAGCCACAGAAACACGGCAACCTCTCAGGTACGGGGATACACAATAGATGAAGCCTGAAGCAGCTCTCTGCTGTTCAGTTCCTCTTGTGGGCTACATGGCTTTTAATGAAATTGCTCGGCCTGGACACACCCCTTAATGGACATCCAGCTACCTTTGCAGCTATAGCTTTTCACCCTATTTAACAGAGAAAAAACACTTTACTATGGACCACACAGAATACTGAAAACTAAATTTGAAGCAGACAAATGGGAGCAATGTTGATCAGGGTAAAAGAGTAAATAATTCAGTCTCTAGGTCTGCTCTTGACACAGCACTAAAGCATACCTACCCCACCCCTCTCTCCCCCAGACTCCAGGCACTGCAGGCACAGTGGATGGTCACGTTCCCTTATGGGCCTTGGACCTTGCTACTGTTCATTTATCAATAACAAAAATATTTTTATTATTTTCATTTTCTACCTTCCAAAAAATAAAAGGATGCAACGACTGCTTCAAGACAGTACAAACAAATTCTTAATTGAGATAATTTCCTAAAAACTAAGATGTGGTGTGTCACCTGGAATTTTTGCCCACATAGTTATAAAAACTGTACTGGCATTAAGGAGAAGAGACTATTAATTTTTTTTTACATTATTATAGCTGCTTGGGTTACATTTTATCACATAAAAAAATGCAAAACTATTTTAAGACTTGCAGTTGAAGATAATTCAACTCAGAATGCACCCCCTTAAAGGTACAGTCTCCTGAAAACCAGAATATTCAACCCTATAACTCTCATGCTAGCTCCTTTTATTATTAACCTTTTTAAAATTTAACAATATATACAAAAGACTTTAATACAGTCACTGTGCAAGGAAGCTGGAAGAGATGAGGAAAGACAAGAAAATCCTGTCACTGCTGTGATGGCTGAGAGTTTCTGTTGCTTTCAGTGAGCTGAGTTTGTCCTCTCGCAGAGTTGAAAACTCCTCAGTTTCCTGACTTCCACAGGAAAGAAAGGCATTTTCCTTGACAGTACAGGTTTCAGAGGATATCTGTATACTAGTTTGATATACTCCAGACCAGTCTATGGTGCGGAGTTTGCTTGAGTAATTGGCTGTTACAAATTGGTAAACAGAAATGCCAAAAAGTTAAATAACAACAATAATTCTCACTAACAAGGTGAGTAAAGACATTAAGCGACAAGGCTATTTCAGTTTATTAGGAACCTTGTTCTGGCTTCAGTCTTCAAATCTCAACTAAAAAGAAACAGTATGTCTCATGCTATTGTAAAGGAAGAAACTTTAAATTCAGGGAGACATTCGATTCCTTGTGAAAACCCATGGAAGATATTTTAGTACATAAATTTGTTCTTATAAACTGAACCACAGGATAAACCAGCTTGACACCTCTGTTGTTCTTTAAATATCTTATTGTAAAAAATATACTATACACTATACATCATATTTGGCATGATGAAATGAAAGCCACATTAACACTTTTGCAGAAACTAAACAACGTGTACTGCACATTTATCAAGCTCATTTTAATGCTACTTTTATATGCAAAACTTTATTGCAATAGGAAAGCAATTAGACTTTCAAACCAAATAGAAAAATGCAGTAGGTAGTACTGTGCTTCTCAGATATCTACAGTGCCTTGCAAAAGTATTCAGACCCTTAAACATAAAAGCGTCTAGCAAGTCCTCAAATAATTAATCAAATACTTGGTGCAGTTCTTGTCACCTCTGCATCTTGAAGCTTCCAGTTTCTGCCTATAGTAGGCGCTAACACTTGCAAACTAGAGAACTTCTGATCTGTGGTAAGAGGTTGTTCTGTAGTGCTTGCATTTATCTCTAGTTATCTAGAGGCCTATATGCAATAGCTGGAAATAGAACAATATTTTGGTGGAATATAGATCGTTTCATATCTACAGCACATTTCAGGACATTCTAAAGTAACATTTCATTAACTGGCCTATTTACTTAGTTGGCACTATTCCTCACTAATGTTGGATGACTATATTATATATATATATTCTATCTTCTACAGCTTTGATTTTATGACAAGACACAAGAGGCATTAAAGGACACTTCAAAGAGTGTGATCTTAAACAAATATTACGTTATGCAGTTACTGAGAGTTTAATGAAAAGGACCGAATGTTACTTTTGACACTAATACAACAATTACTGGATTATGAGGTATTTCATGACTTCAGTACGCAACGACCTGTTTTGTGGAAAGTGAACACTAGTACTATTATTTTCCAGAAACAATTGCATAAACCAGGGGTTCAAACTGGAATGCAACACAGAACTTCCAGAGAATAGGAAATGGAACAAAAACAATATCCAACATATAACAAATCCTAGTTAAAAAGGTCCTTTCTCCATTCCCTTTCAGTCTAAAACATCTGTCTTATTCCACTATGCTCCCTGTTAGTTAAAATGACTGACAGCACAACCATTCAGTGGTTTCAACAATACTACTACATCAGGAAACAACTGATCACACTATATTGAACTAAATTGAATCTGCACTCAGGGAACGCCCTGACCAAGCATGTGGGGTCTCCCTCTCCCCAGGCCCCAGGACCGACCCCGGTTGAAGCCTTCACCATCAAGCAAAGTGCACTCCATGTTCGGACAGAATACTTACCGTGTTTCTCACTTGAACTTTTTTGGGTTCTGGCGACACATCCTGGGGAACAAATTTTATCGGCTCCTTGATCTGCCTCCTTGACCTTTTGGTCCCATCTGGTAAGGTTTCCATGGCAATGTCTGCTTCCATGTCCGTGCTTGCCTGGTCACATTCAGAGCACTGCCTGGAATTCAAACAAAGGCCGTGTTTAAAAGGCACAAGAGACGCATGCATACACGAGGTCTCATTTATAAAATCCACTTTGCACATTTTTAAATTTTCTTTCTGCACCAAAGAAGAGCACACACTGCTAAAAGGACTTGAAATTCCTGAAAGCAAAAGCCACAACAGAAAACAAAATAAGCAGGACATTTTCCTCATCACAAAAAGTGCAATTTGTCAATGTAATAATGTACTTTCATGAAAAACAAATTGTGATAAATGTTCCTATTTTTAAGAATTACTAAAAAAATGACTTCATATGTAAGCTATTGCTGAACTTTTGAAATTGTTAGCAGGTACTATTTTATTATTGTCGTCTTCAAAAATAATTAATTGAATTTGTACAGTTGTTTTGATCTCAAAAGCATTTCACTAATCAGGGGAAACAATTGAAATGCACCACCTGGGTGATCCATGGCTGCCATTACACACAATCAGCTTCACTGCCCCTTAAATCAGATGGAGAAATTACCCATCCAACTGAATTAAGCAACTACCAGTCAAATGGTCTAGATGGGACAAATGACTTCATCTTGTCCTCAAACCTTCTAATTCATGTCTTCAGCGTCCCCCTCAAGCGAGCACAGGAGCACTGTTTGGAAAACTACAGTTTAGAAGTAGAACATTTCTACTGGGCAACCAACACCACTTTTACAACAACACCCTAGTGTCACATGGAGTTCTCCCATTGCAGTTCTGACATTACTGGCATGTTGCCCTGGCCAAATTCCACCCTGGGTATAATAAGATTAATTCAAGTGCTGAAGCAATCACTCTCTTCTCTGCCTGATGTACTGTGCAGAATAATAAAGTTGCATACTATCTAGGTGGGGGTTGCACTTCAGTGGGAAACGTCCTTTAGGGTGAAAACCTATATAAATACAAGAAATGATTATTAAAAGCTATATAACTTTAATATGATGCTGAAGCATAATGCAAAGTTATCTGTATCTATGCAACCAGTTTACTGCATCAGTCATGCATTTTCTAACTACAAATAGTATAAAAGTACCAGTATAACATATTCTGACTGTTCATTATCTTAAGCCCTTTCTGTGACCTCGAGCATAGGTTTTCATTGTTTTGGGGAACAGAACTCAGAAGAAATTCTTTACACACATTTTAATTATTGGAATGGGTCAGAAGCCTGTAAAAGCTTTTATGTTACACTACCTTCTTCTGTCTTAGCTAAGAATTTCATGCTTGAGTTGTGCTTCTTATCAGCAACTAGACTTTCACATTTAATTAGTCCAGGTACCTATTGGAAGATTTGATTACGAAACGAGTGCGGCTGTATTGACTGCCTTCCTTTCATCTCAGTTGTGTGCCTTTCAAGTTTAATAGAAACAGGATAAAAAACTCCAAATGTTTTAAGTTCTTTCAGATGTGTGGAAAAGTCTTCTTCTATGCATTCAATTAAATTAAAACACTTTTTAGAAAAAATACTTCAAATTAAAAAAAAATCCACAAAAATATTATAGATAAAAAAGCACACAAGCCTATATTTAAAGGTCAAACAGAGTCTACATTGAAATGTGTGCTCTAACCTTGCAGTTTAGACTGTTATATAACTGTATGTATATATAACTGTCTGTTTCAAATGCCTTAAAGGCACACTGCCAATGTACCAAAAAGACAACACAGGCTTCTTATTACAACATGTTTTTCAGAAGCCCTCAAACTGTCCTAGCCCAAACAGATGCAGAATAACTCCTGCCCCATTACTCTTTGGGCATGTGTACACCTTTAAAAACACTTGCAACAGAATCACATGCCTTTGCTGTGTTAGTTACAGTGCGAGTAGAAGTAATTCAGCTTATTTGCATAATTGCAATTTAAATTACAACATGTAGCTAAAACTTTGAAAGTAAACATTACCATAGAAGGTCTGTGTGCATGTATACACAAATTAGTTAAACATGCTACATTAAGAACAGTGAAACAAATAATTTCACAAAATAACTATATATTTAACCATTTACTAGTTATTTGGGGATTTTCTGAAATCCTAGCCTTCACATTCTTAATGTAACATACATAAATAAAATGTTTGGGGACATAATAACAAATAGTGATGTAATAACTTAATTTCGCAAGCAGCATACAATAAGAAATTCCCTTTACCTTGTATTTTAAGAAATGTAGAATGCTTAATTCCTTTATGTATTAATTTATTAATTGGAATTCCATACAACATATCCAATAGCAAGCTTTGACAATATTAAACAGATCAGGTTAATGAACTGACCATGTTTATGAAGCCTTGAATATAACGCATAGTCTTTATCCTAAAATGTTATACGATTAAGCAGTTCATTTTTTTTTCTCATGAGTATGTTGTATTGCCATTCTACAAAATGATCTACAAAAGATCCAGCCCCAGTGTTGTCATACAGTTCATTACTGCTATTAAGTAGATCAAACACACTACAAAATAAATGCTGACTTGGCAAATGTCAACAAATCTTTCTTACAGATCCTTGGTTTATTCACGCTTGATGAATTTGCACTGCACCCACTTAAGTTCTCAGAGACCAGCCAGTGAAAGGAAAGCACAGCAGACTTGCACAACTGTAACAGACTTCAACAACGTATTGAATTGATCAAATAGCTACTAGCAACCAAACAGCCCAGATGGGCCAAATGGCCTCACCTCATTTGCAGCCTTTTTATGGTCTCATGAATGTCACTCAGAAAAGAAGGTAAAAGTACACAAGCACTGTTGTATAATATATGCAGCTTCAGAAACATTTGTTAAATCAGGCACAAAAAATATTTCCTACACAATGCGCAATGTCTAGTTAAAGGAGAGAGGAATATATATGTTGCAGCACTTTTCTATATAATAAGACAATTGGAACGATTTGGACTTCAATCGATGCAGTTTATCATATTTGGTCAAGTAAACATCTGAATTCCTAAAGTGTTCTTTCATTCCTGCACTGGCCAGGCCCCACCTTGTTTATCTTCTGAGGATCTGACGTGTTAAAGCTACAAACAAGATGATACACCCCTATTTAATTGTGATTTGCTGTAGTCTAACTTGGCAAATTAGAACCGCCCCCTTATTAGCTAATTTATAGATTAAACAAGCAATTCCAATTACTGTCGGATGTGCTAGCTTCACTCATAAAACAGACGATGCTAGAAAATATAATTGCAAAAGGCGGTAACCCAGTACAAGAGCCTTTATTGAATATGGCACAATACCAGGGGAGTAAAAAGTCTGTAGTAACTTTATATAGATTCATGTGATGCAGTAGAAGCTCTACACTCCAGTAAAAACTCTTTGACACTAGTACTTTCAGACAGATTCCTTAAACTTAGCTACCCATTTCACCTGTGGGTTGTTCTGAAAGCTTAAAGCACTGCAGGTTAACCCACACAAAACATTTAAAGGTAGAAGATGAACAAGAAGTTTGTTCAATTCCACCTGACATGTTTCAGAATGTACTGCATGCTTGAGTGTTTATAAGGTTTCACTGAATATTTTGATAATTAATTTCAAATTTCTAAAGATAATTTATACATGCCCTTGATATATCATGAACATCACTAAAATATCACAACCATGTGTTACAGTAGATACAATAAAAATTACTCTGTACATTTATCAGAAACATAATATTTTGCTTGGAATCAACATACTGCAGAATTAAAAGAATAATTTCATTAATATACTGATAAGTCAAAGCATATGCTTAAAAAGAATATTTCTAAAAGCTCTAACTAGACTCCAAGAAAGCCAAAAGAAAACGCCACCTTCCTAAAGCCAGAGGAAAAAAAAAAGTCAGGAACAAGTTTATAAACTATTCTCTACATGGACAGCCCTGATCATCAATATATGACAATACTATATATTGTAGTGGGCTCAAATTAAAATTATTTTGTTTGGTCGATCTTGGTCTAATTTAGTTATCATTGATCATTTCACAGACATTGTAGAAGCAAACTGCAACCTTCAAGGTGCCTGAAAGGACGACAGACAGGGTTTTAGCAGGAACAGGGAAGATAAACTACAGATGGAGTAAATGCACCTGCTGGTTCTCTCAACATTTTTCTCAGATGATGATCAAGAACATCATGTCTAGCCAACCTTGCAATAGCACAAACTGAGTGTAACTGACCAGGTAAAAACTTAAGTAAAAAAAATAAACATTTAATTTAAGTGAAGTTTGAGCATTCAGAGTGAAAATAGATTGTCACACATTGCAGGCTGCTGCACACTGTTGATCCTGACAACCTGAGTGAAGATGACAGACTTCACAAACTCAGAGACATGCTCTAACATACACACATGAAGCGCAGCGCATTATGTGAGCCTAACAAAGAGATCTGAGTTGCTGAAGGAACAGAACAGTCGGGTTCAAAGGGGGATCAATGAGCAGATAACAGAACACAACCAACTGCATCAATAACACATTTTAAGAATGGGCATTTCTGTTAGGAGCAAATCAAAGGGGGTTCACAGCAGACTGCAAAGCAAGACTGCAAGACTGCAACATACTCAGTTTATTAGAGGTACAGCTGAGTGACCAAAACCCAGCTAAATCTGTTTTAATAAACAGTATGTAAAATCTACAATTATGCTGAATACACACAAATAAAACATTTGTGCATTCAAATAATAGCTGGGTCACTATATAAAGAACTAAGCATTGAACAGTTCAGCTAGGTTTTCTCATTCAGAACAAGAAAAATCTGTTGTAGAACAACTACCTAGTGTTGCTGCAGAGTAACCAACAAACTGACCCAGTCTGAAAGGACAGAAAATGGCAAGACTGAGGCTCTAAACTTCAAGTCAAAAGAAAATGACACAGCGTGAGAGCAAATAAATATTATGATCCCGTGTTCATCAAGTATGTGGACCATCCAAAGACTTAATTGCCTTATACATCTTGAAAAATGTTTATGCAACTGTATGAAAAAAAAAGAAAACTTAGGAAAACTTCATTATTTGACTTAATATTTAAAGTTATTAAAACGTTTTGCACGTTTCACATAATACAAACAAATGCAAATGCACAACAAAAAGGAAAAACAAAGATACACTTTGAGCAAGAAAGTGGGACAAAAGTAATTTTGAAAGATCAGACACCAGCTTGCTGCGCACTAGTTCTGCATTCCCTCGACACTAATTCTACCACAGATTTGCAGGATCAGATAAGTTAGAGACTCTTTCACTGAAAGATGCTCAACTAAAAAGTGGACTGGTGCTTGCCCTATACTCCTCCAACAGCCTGATGAACACAACTAGACCTTAATGTTGATGCCCTTTCCAAAACAGGGTTCAAACACATCTTGCTTTTTTCCTCTCGAGACTCATTAAGAAAGATCAGAGAAAAAATAATAGGTGAAAACAGTATTTAAGGGGGTTGCATTGTGCACTTTCAAATCTCATGCTCTGCTTCAATCAGCAACAAACCAAAATAAAATGTCAAAGCATTCATCTTAAAGAATTGCAATCACAAAGAATATAAAGCCTAAAAACTAGAATGACCTAAGGAATTTCCCATCTGAAACGCAGTAGATTAATTTTGGCTTCCACAAGTAGAAATGTCTTTTACTGAAAGTTGGTATTCTTCATTACTTTTGTTAAATATTTGAAGAAACATATCTGCATTTTGCTTCCACCAAAAGATGTCAATGAATGATAAAATCTACAAATGAACCTATTTAATACATAAGCATAAAGCAAATGTTTTCTGTGCTTAACGTGCTTACATCCTATGACGTAATCTACAGTATAATACTATAGAGATAACAAAATAGGTGTCTAAGACCTCTTTTATGACCCTTATCCAAAAAGACATTACAAAAAGCTGCATTATCAGAAATTCCAGTCTCGACTTCCCCAAAACCTTGGTGTGTCGTCATAATTGCCAGCCATTGACATGTTGTTACCATGTCTGTTGCTCTCTTTGAGATTAAAGTAAATTTCTCCAATAAATTATCGCAGGCACCTGCCTGAATGTGTATTCATACCAAGGATAGATTCTAGGATTCTTAACATTCATCAAACTGAATTTCAAAGTAGGAAAAGTAAAAAAAAAGTTTCAACATCAATTTTTTTTCTTCTTTGCTTGCTTCTTTGTTTAAAACAAGCTTATTATTACACATCTCTATAATTCCCATTGCCTTTTCCGATATAACCCTTGTTTTCAAACTACACATTCAAACACCACCACAGCAGAAGTAATTATCATGCTTCAGGCCAGAAGCTCCCATAATCTCAGTGTTATTATTATAAAGTCAGTCACGTCTGAAACAGTCAATTATCGAGGGCTGGTAAATGCTGTTATATGATTGGAAGCGAATAACCGCAAGCCTTCTAATAAACCAATGATTGAAATGAACCATTAGTACTACATGGACATAAAAGTGAAATAGTTTAGTTACATGTACTTTGGCTGTTTTCCTTTGCTCATATTAATAAAAAAACGGTTTGGGCATGGCATGGAAAACAGACCCAAGTGAGCTGCCACAGTCAGCCACAGTTAATTCTGGTTTGGTTTTACAGCAGTACAAAAAAGGTTATATATAAACGAGGGGTTTTAGCCCATGAATTTGGGCTTATCTTAAGCCTTTAGTTCTTCATATTCTGAACTTAAGCCATGAAATTCCCTGTGCATCTCTTTATTGTTTGTTATTCCAGGCATACCAATATTAGTTTCCGCAACTCTGAGAGGATAAAGCAAAATAATATGAAGCAGGCAAAGTGACAGCAGGACAAAACTGATTGTCTCTGAAAAATTACAAACTAAGAGAATGCTAAAGAACACACAAAGAAGGATGATGTTTTCATTCAATGACATCATAACAATGTAATTACCAAGTATTATAATGGTGGTAACCATAGTATAAGGTATAATGGTGGACATTTTTCTGCCGAAGTATTGATGCATTTGTACTGCCTCAATGTAATTACAGTATTACAGGTAGTAATATACAGCGGCAATTGCATAATAAGTATGCTCACTGTGCTGCTTAATATTATGGGATCAATTCCTTTTACTGAATAAATACAATTTTTTTGTATTGTTTCATTGTACTTACAACTAAGATTATATTACTCAGTACTAAAGTGTTACCAAAAGGTTGATCGTCAGGCTCAGAAAAACTGCAACAATGTAAGTGTGGAAAGAGCCTTGATCTGTGTTCTCTCCAAACTGCACACATGTGGCTGTTCAGTAACCCTGAAAATAGTGCACACAAAATATTCTAGGTCCTGGCAACAATTTAGTTAGTAACACATAGCTTCACTTCATGCCGGTTGTTTTGTTCCATAATAAATTGAGCAATATTCACCCAAGTTCAAATACAATTTGTTAATTTGATTGACTTTCTGATCAGTAAGACGAATTAAGCACTGATCGCAGAGTGGACACAGGAGATGATTCAGTTCCAATCTTGGAGCTCAGAGGATGAAGGGAGGAACATGGGAAATGGTCAAACTCAATAAAAACACATATCTGTAACATAAACACACATATATAAATAACATAATAAGACTTTGCATTAATGATGTGAATGGATTTGAGCACTGTGTGTGAAGAACGTATTTTGAGGACTATTCAAATGGCTATATTGATTTGACTTTCTAAAAAAAACCCAGATTATATAAAACTAATGGTTAAATATTAAACCGGATATACCTACTGCAAGATAAATTAATATATGTTTTAAGGTTTCTATAAAGTATACTTCATTATGTCTTCTGCGGTGAATGCAAATATGTGATATAGTAGGTAGAGAACAAAATGAGATGTTGCCATTTTATTAGGCTTCCATTATAATTCCATGGAACAGGTAAAGGTTTATTCCATGCTGAACAGAAGAGACACAACCCTTCAGACGACATCTGAAGACGTCTTCACAGCCGAAACATTGTGTCTCTTCCTTTCAGCCTGGAATAAACCTGTTCCTTTGCAGCCTACCCGTGCTGACACAGCTGCCTATTTGAACTTACTGTATATTATCACCCCATCACTATTTCGCTGATAACCTTAATTTGATGTATGCAGAAATAAGAACGTCAAAATGTCATGTTAATTATTTCTTAATCAATTAATTTATTTCAACTTACCTTTAGTGAGATGATTGTTTATAAATAAAATTGATGTCACGCTGTTGTTATCAATTACAATAACTGGCTTGTGATGATTCAGTATAATGAATGAAATGAGTGTACTTTGGCAATGTTTTAATAATGTTTTGCCTTTTTTACTACCCTGCAAAAGTCAACTGTATGGGACTAACAGGCTAAGCTTTCACCAGGTAATCCAGCGGTATATGATCTTTTATATAGGATTTTCACCAAAATATAATCTTCTCTCTTAACATTTTTCACATGGAAGGAGGAAAACTACTAAGAATACCTGTCCCATTTAGCTTAATTAATGATTAAACCCTGTTTCAGCCACTATTTCAATGGTCATTTCAGTGGTACAGTGTCATTTAGGCAGAATGTACTATAGGGAAACTATAGCTGCACAAAGTAATATGTTGTTCTACAAACCCAATACAAGACAAATGCAGACTCCAAGCAAACATTACTGTTTTGATTTAAATAATTAGTTCCTAGCAACAGTATGTGGTGTAGAGGAATGACTGTTGTTATGCTATCACAAATGAAATAAAAGTACATTACAAGCGAATCAAGCTATCCTGTGAGGTGTTTTTTAGGTACTGTTTGGGCATGCCCAAGCTTTTAATTCTGCTCATAGCTTGGCTCTTTGTGCTCATGAGGTACAGAAATTGGGGGAACCCTGCTCTTGATTAATATTCTGGCTTTAACCTGGTTGGTTAGAGGGACAACAGCAGGACCACATGGATGAAGAGGATAGCCCTCCACCCCAGCCTCCTTCGATGACGCCAGGGGCTGCTGCCCTAATGGAGTGGTGTATGGTACAGGGGTGGCAGCCCAAGAGGCACCATGAAACAGTGGCCTGAGTCTCACATTGAAATCCCACAGACAGCGACTGACAGGGGATCTGTCCTCCCCCAACTCTTTGTTACAAAATCTACTTAACACAGGCTTTTTGCTCAAGCTGTAAAATTTAAAAAGCCCTTAAAGCATAAGTTAGACTCACCAGTAGCTGTTTTTGGTCTTCTTTGGCATCCTGGTGAGTGGCGGGTCTAAGCAGCCCAGGTGGTAATATAGCTTGCAAGTATCACAGAGCAGGAGCAGGTGCTGGTCCTGGTTTTTCTTACATATCCCACAACTGGAAGAGAACAAAATATTGTCTTGAAAACAATCCATGTCATTAGAACACTTTTTGTGGACCAATTTCATAGCAGAATTGTAAAAATTGCCTTTAAGCAAAGACCTCCAAAAGTCTGAAATGCATTTCCTTCCGTTAAACAAAGTTGTATGCATTCACCGCAGAAGGGTTACAGAGGGATGTGAAAAGATAACATTTAAATATGTAATTTAAAAATAGCAGCAAACACTTCAATCTTTTTCATTACTTCTGTAACTCTCCTATACTTTCACCTTCATTTTCCAGATAGTTTAAAGTGTACTCACATTTTCAGGGGCTAAGAACAGTTTTAACAGTTATGCTACAAAAACTGTAATAACTGAAAAAAAATTAACATGGAAAACTATGACAACGATTTCTTACATGAAACATTACTTATCAGAATTCAAAAACCATTTGTATCATTTTAATAAGTTTCCTAAAGTATGTGTTATTTTAAGAAGGTATTGTTCTGTGGTTTATTAGGCTCTCCAAAAAGTATCAAGTATTAATGCAGTATCAAGTGTGGCCCTCTTGCACACAAATGTGACAAATGGTGTCTCTCACAACACTGAAGAAAACACATACATTTTATGTTAACCACACATACAATTTACTATTAACTTCCTTCCAAATTAAAAATTCTGAGATTACTGATACTTCTGACTTTTATAAAAAAAACATAAAAATATACTTTAGTATGAAAGATTTACCACCTTAATTTATCTTATGTTTTAATATACTGTATACTTGTGCACTGTGTCACAAGACCTAGGCTAGTGATTCTAAAATTAGTTTAAACAAATGCATTGTTAAAATAACTGTAAAAATGCAGCATTCTCATTTACGCAATCTGTAACATTAAGGGACTCTATAAAATTACATATTTGCACACTTACTTTGTGGTGTTTTAAGAGATGTATTTTCCAAATTATCGAAGCAATAATAATTAAATACATCCAGCTGAAGCTGGAAAATTAGGTTTACCTGTAAAGAACTGCAGGGAGGACTGAGGACTTTTGAGTTCCACCTTCCTTTTTGCTAGGCTTTCTTTCCTTGGGAGCTCGTAAAATGACTGGAACGTTCAATTTCTGTCAGACGATTCAGACAAATGAGTGAAATGAACATTTGCTTATTTCTACTGCAGATCTGTATTTGTAGCTGAAGGAGGAAAGAAATCTAATGAACTACACAAGAAAGTTAAGGAACTGTTATAATTTGCACAATATGTTTGAAACTTATTTTGTTCACAATGTCATTAAAATTAGGTTTAATTTACAACAAAACACTGTCAATAGACCTTACATTTATTTAAATAAGGGGGGGTTAAGCAAACAGCCGTAAAAATAGACCTTACATTTACAGGTCTCAACGTTAGTCTGAGGGCACAACGTTAAGATGAATAGCATGTAAAAATTCAGGAAGAAATTCCACAACTTACTCTGTTAGAGTTTTGAAAGTGACAGACAAGGACAAGTTGGTTTAGGCAGAGAGAAAAACACTATCCTTGACAAAAGAATATTGAGGCAGTTTATTTTCTTCAACATCCCTGCTACATCGGTGCTCCATAGGTTAATTAGAAAAATTATCTTATTGGGCCAAACTCTCCACAAAGCAGACAAGATTCTCTTTGGGTTTCCACTAATCTACAGCATGCTAGCTTCTCAGACAGCAACCATCGATCAAAGTCATTTCTTGGCGGAGCTGTGGGCCAGCATCTGTTCAGCCAACTGGAAAAAAAGTGTCAGCAAGCTGTGCAAATGAATTCTACTACTGTTTCTGTACAGGTTGCAGTAGGAAACGCACTGTATTTGTGTGATGGTTTTGTTTTTGGGTTATCGAAAGGTAAAAAACCTGAGGTTTTGTTCGCAAACAGGAGAAGTCATTACCCTGAGGTGAGAAGAAATTAGAAGGCTCTGCTAAAAACCTTCATTGTTCCACCAGATCATGAAGAGGCTGGTGCTTGTTATTCTCCAAAAGTAATACCAATTCCCAGTAGCTACAATTAGGTTAAATGTACTGCCAGGAAATAGTCAGCAAAATGTAACTTAAGACTTTGACGAGTGTTTTTCTAATAACAAATGTAATAAACTGGTTCACCAATGCATATAATTTTGGTGGGAATAAAACATCTTGCAAAGCATTTCTTTTTTTCTCTTTTTTGTAAAAATATAAAAATGTAATAGTCACAACTAAAAGCATATCCCTTGGTCACCTTAGAATTTGAAAGCCATGGGAAATAAAAGAAGCAAAACGAAGGCTTATCCAAATACCATTCTTTCAGGAAAGAACAGATATGTGACCAGCATCCAAAATCCAGATTCCATCTTGATTTTCATAATCACCACAAATCCCCTAGAATCCCAGCGGATCCAACACCGCAAACTTTATTAAAGAAGTCATCTACCAGTTTTGCTGATATAGATAAGCATCTAAAAAACAGAGACCCACAGGAAGCAGTAAATGCAGGAGTTCTGAAGCACACATCAGATTAAATTAATACTGCGTTTGACTGTGACCTTGCTGCCCCTAAATAAAAAAACACAAAAGCAAATGGCACAAAAACAAGAAGTAACATTGACTGATGGAGGTACTTATGATTACCACCTCATCCTATCTGTCCGCTCTTTGAAACCTACCATCTTCTCCCAGTACACGAGTTTACACTGGTACCAAGCGACCTTACTGGAAGAACTGGATCATACTAGGACTGTCCTCTGATTGACACTTTGACAAACACATTATAATAATGACTTCATAGTAATAATACGTGGTGCTAAGAGTAATACTTTGCCTTATTATCATGTAAATAAAATGAATCGGAATTGGCTCCAATGCAGCCCAGCCAAAACATATTACACTTTCTGTGCACATACACAGTACATACTATTCAATCAGTGCAAGACCCAATATTTACAAACCGAGATGCCTAATGCGATCTAGATAGGCGCTGACTTGGAACCCAGCAGTACTACAATTGATGCTTTGAAACCTACTCCCCAAAGGGAGAAGTTTAAAAAGGAACTGGCGGCATGGAAGGGGTCTGTAGGCTCCTTCTCAGCTTTCCCTTTGATGCGACTGTCGTAAACAGAGGCAATGGAGGGAAGATCCCGACCGACGGTCTTGGATGCCGCGCACACTTTGTGTTCACCGACAGTTTTCGGTTATCCGCCAGCAAATACCAAACACCTCCCAACAAAAAGAGATGCTATTTCCAGGGCAAGCGTGAGAGCACCAGCTGACCGAGCACTTCATTCTCTCTGCGTACAGCTGAGTATCCAGCCCTACGTCACTAGGGCACGTGCAATACAGACAGCAGGAGCAGGGATATGAACAGTCAGCCCGCCTCTAATGCTTTTCATCAGTCAAGCACTGTGTTAAGCCTGCTTGCTTTCCCAATTTAATTTGCACCTGCAGGCAGCATGCAGATTTTCCCTTCACAAGAACCCGCCTGTTCTAAATCATGATGGTCAAGAAAAAGCCAGAAGCAGCAGGCTGATGATCCCTTGCTCCCCACATGTCCCAGGGAATATATTCCCAGCTGACCACAGTCCCATTTAATCCGCCACAGGACACAGTAAGTAAGTGTGTTAAATAACGACTCAACTGTGAACAGCTTCCTGGTCATAGACTCCTGAAATAAAGCAGTTCAGCAGCACAAAAACTGAACGAGGAACAAGCAGCTCATAATGGATAAGGTTAGTGCTGCTGCAGTGTGCACCCAGGCCAACTGAACGGCTTTCCAAAGTGCCACACAAAAAAAGACAGTAGTCTGCTACTTCATTGTCCTGCTATAGGTATGTATGCCACTTCACCTCCAGGATGACCGAGAAAACATCCAATGCACACCTATAATAATAGAAGCAGCTGTAGTAGTAATAATTATAACTT